TATACACATAATAAGAATAATGCTTTCCACGAAAATCACAGACAATGTGCAAAATATCCTATAATACCAAAAACTCACAAAAGAAAGAAATCTGTACAGATAATGAAACAGAAAGGCTTGATTTATCATGTTTTTGTTATTTATCTGAACACCAGTGCAGATAATGAAACAGAAGTTCTTGATTTATCAAGTTTTTTTTATCTGAACACCAAACTTAGAAAAAATGTGCGACATGCTTTAAGCTCATGTTTGGGTAACTAAAAATGATCTTCAAATACTTTACCTTATAAACATATAGCTATACTAGATGTACTTCTGCAGAGTCCCGAAAGTGTTTCGTTTCAAGAGTAAATAAAACCAAAATTAAGAGTAACAAATATTTTCATTTCTTGCTTTTGAAGTTCATATGTCTTGTGCACGTTTTACTGACATCACAACAGTTCAAACCACAACATTAAGCATACCTTATGTGATGTCATTTTATTGTCTTTTTAAGTTCTTCTTCTTTTTCTTTCATGATGTTTATTAAATTGAAAATTCTTAAGAAAAAAATTTATATTTAACAATTAATTCCATCAAGTTCCCGAGTGGTGGCAGTGGGTCGGTGATAAGTTAGCTTACTCTTGATCAAAAATTCTTGATTATGAGATAGAAAATATCTTGGAAATTCTGTACAAATTGTTCCTTTAGTGAGTCAGCAGTAAGTTTATAGAATTTGCTAAAATCCAGGACACAATTTCCTGTGATGGATAGAGTACGGATAGCCCACCGTGTAACTTTATGTAAAACAAACAGCAACAAAAATTCCATCAAATTTAAACTGACAAACATAAATATCATGCTTAACACTTTATCTAGACCATTTATGTAACTGACTATAGAATCTTTCACTCATAGATTATTTTTAATTTCAAGGGTTTTTATGTTCGCACACACACACACACACACACACTTCAACTATAATGCATTTTTATTAGTAGTTAGTTTTGTTCAGTTTTAACCTTGCTTTCACAAAAATAATTATTTTAATGACACTTCAGAAAATTCTTATTAAGATGCAAACAGATAAGAAAGAGAACATTTTATCAATTTATTTCTCAGTGGTAAGTTGCCACTTGATATTCAGCTTAAATAAAAAAGACTATAAGACCAATATTTTGTAAATATTACTTTAAAAACTAAGTGTTGTTTTTCATACTTTACTCTTTTTTATCTCAGCTGAAGCTTTAGAAAAACAGGACTAAGTCAGAAATGGAGACACCTGGTTGTGATCCAAATCTTCTAAAAGATACCACACAACACTTGCAACATAATTTAGTAAATTAATATTTAAAATTCTGATTAATTTTTAAGATTTTAGTCTTACTTTTTTAGGTATGAAGTTGAAGGTAATTAAAGGCAACAATTAGAACAGGTATATGTCAGGAAGATGTCATATTGTACTTACTTCTAAATCTATTTCATCCTTGCAGATAAGGAGGTCAACTGAAATACCAGTTTCTTCTAGAAAAAAAGTAACTTCTTTTCGTAGCCTCAAGTCTTTCCTTAAGGCATTAAGAACAGGCAGCACCACACGACATGTTTCTGGTTTAATCTACACATTACAAATAAATTATGAACCTTACTTAATTAATAAATTTTCAGGTGCTATACAAAAAACTTGGTTTTCTGAGTACTGTATTTTATTTTTTATAATGTGCCAAGTGAATTGAAGTTTAGAAAAGCTGGGTAAGCTTTTTTATTGTGGTGGATATTAAATGAATTCTATCGTTCCATACTTATATATACATAACTGAAACAAACTAGATTTTTGGTTGTCACATCACACATCTTCAATATTATTACATATATTATTGCTATACATCTTGTTCAGGTTTCACAAATTTTACTTGTAATATGTTGATTTTTGTGCCTGAAATTATTTCTAATATTTTTCTTATACGTATTTCATGTTAGAAAATCTACAAGTGTTTTGTGTGCAACAAATGTATTTTTAAAATTATAACCATGAACTTCTAATACACTATAGCAGTACCCTCAGTGATCTTTTTCAGTATTTCCTAGAGATCTATCCCAAAATACAGAAGAAAAACTGCCAGCCACAAACATTATTAAAACATTTACTAGCCTCTTTTCTCTCTCACTCTCTTTTTTTTTCTATCAGCTCATTTACAGTTTGTTGCATCTAATAAAGATATTCCACACACATTTATAATTTGCTAAACATTACATTTGTATATGCAAATCAATTATTCAAGGTCTTAAAGATATTAATATTTCCACAAAACTTGTATGTGCACATTTTGATACTCATTATATGTAACAAATCAAGATTTAATAATACTCCTAAAATTTTTCATCTTTCTGGTTATAGAATACTAATAAAAGGTACAACAAGCTTGTAAGAAATAACTGAAAAACACAGAGCTGTCAACATTAATGTACATAAACATGTGTAACCTAGGCAAAGTTGTAAATATTTTAAAAATATCTTGCATTACTGATCTTTAGAAAGCCCTTACATGGGCTTGACTCACTAGCACACTGGTAGAGAAGAAAAATAGCAAAAAACATTGAACAATGGTGAATTGCAGGTTCATTGTTTTCATGGTACACATAATTCTGAAAAATTCAGTTCTACATTTGTAAATGGAAATATCTTGTAATATTTTGAATCTTCTTTTTCTATATTGTACAGCAATTTTTTTTAATTATCAAAGAATTACATATTAAGTTAAGTACCTGTACACTTACCCGGTTAAGAAAAAATGCTGTTACAATTGTGGCTGTAGCTGAGGTCAGGTCACAAGACTTGCTGTCCAGCACAGCATGAACTCCATTAAACTGGTTCAAATGCCCCTAGGATAAGAAATTACAACCTAAGATTTTTTCTGAAGGGATGTCTTAGATGTACATTTCCAAAGCTGGTAAGATTCATGTTTAAACAACTAAAGGAAGGTAAGACAGCTGGTTCAAACAATATTAATTCTAAGATAATGAATGAAACTGAAGAACGATATGCCTTAATTTTAATAAATCTATTAATAATAATGAGGTGCTATAAAACTGGAGGTTAGCCAATGTCACACTTATTTATCAAAGGAGAGATAGACAATAACCAAGTAATTACTGTAACAATCAATTAGTCTTGCTTCACTAGTTGGTAAATTACTAGTCAAACTAAATACATTCTACACATGCACTTATGTAATTTTTTATCAAACAATGTCACCAACAATTTAGAGAGATAAGGTCATATACTATAAAATTTGCTTTCTTTGAAAATGTTACACTTAATCCAGTTATGGATATTGCAGTGGACTTGATGTACATGGACTTTCAGAAAGAATTTGATATGATGCCACATAAAAGGTTTCTTAAGAAAATTACATTTAAATGTTGGATAGGAGCAAAGTTAGGTAAATGATTGAAGTGGCTGAAGAGAGAAAATTGTCATTATTGAAGTTACAGTGTATTAATGTAAAAAGTAGATTACCTCATGATTCTGTGCTAGGTTCTTTGTTATTTCTCACTTTCATTAAAAGACATTGATGATGGAATCATCAGTAAATTGATTAAGTCTGCAGATGATAATAAAGTTAATAGGTATTTTAAATTGTATTGAATATGTTGTAGTTTTGTAGAGATGTCTGGACTATATGGTGAGTTGAGCTGATACCTGTAAGAGCTGCCTTTTAACGTTAATGAAAGTAATGTTATACATATTGGTTATTAAAACATTAATCATTCTTATTGCCTTGGTTGGGAAGATCTGGGTGTAACTTTTAAAAAATCTTTAAAGTTTTCTAGGCAAGTTATATTGTCTAATAATAAGGCATACAGGATTTTAGGTAAAAATCAGAGAAGGTCATCAGATGCTGATTAAACCACATGTGTAATATTATGCTCAGTTTTAATCACCTTATTTATGATGTTCAATTACTGAAAAAGAAAGTCCAGAGAAGAAGTAACAGGACAATTCCAGGTCTGATGGGGGTTATTATTACCATTTGGAGATAGATTAACATACATGATGTTTTTACTGGAGATACTGAGAAGGACAGTTTAGAGAAACATGATTGACATTTGTGAGATTGATAAAGGCTTCAAATACATAAATCCTGTTGATGTTTTTATACATAAAAATTGTGCAGGCAAAATAGTTGAAGGATGCAAGTTTAAAATATGAAAAACTCAGGTGCAACTCCAGTTAAGGCAGTGTTACTTTTCTAGTAATAGGGTGTTTAGCATCAGGTGTTATGCATTTGGTTCTCCAACTACAAATAAAATGAAATAAATAAATCATGAACACATATACAACTTATTTTAATATTATCATTACTTTGAACTTCTTGAATAATATGAAACATTCTGAAATGAGCTCACAGATGATGAAATATTACCCCTATAATTTAGGCATTAGACCAGCTTTTATGTTTATAATTTATTTACTTGATCAAGTAAAGCTAAATAACAAAATGTAATAAAAGGATATATATATAGAGACTGAATGTTTGCTATTCTTATAGTTGTAGTGAATTTGAAGCAATTAATTAAAAAAAGTGCAAACTTGTGCAGCCTCAGACCCAGAGTCTGGTATATGAAATATATGAAGTGGTGGATTTAGGGGTGGTGTAGCTAGCAACCCACCCCTTTTCATATTGTTTAAAAAAATTGTCACATTTTTGAAAATGTCTTATTCAATGATTACTTAATAGTTGATTACATGAGTAATTAAAATTCGTGAGCAACTAACTAATATCTATAAAGCAGATTGAGACATTAACTTAACTGATTAAGATATTTGGATAATGTCTGTAGTATTATTCTGCACTTCCTCTGGCACCTCTATCAGTTGATAGATTATAAATTTAGACTCAAGTGAATAGATCATATTCACAAAATTTCAACTGTGCAATGTTTAAACGTATTCTTAAATTTTCATATCCACCCCACCCCTCTAGCAAAATCCTAGATCCGCCACTGATATGTGTCATTCATAATCATTGTAAATAACAAGGAATAATACTACCAAAGTCCAAAAATACTACAAAGCAAACTATTAATTTACGATTCATAATACTAAGGCATTATTATAATTTATACGTCTATAGTAACAAGACTAAACAGTTATTACTAGATTAAAATTTAGAGCAAAATAAACACAATTGAAGAAGTAAATAAAAATGTCAAAATGCGAAGTTAACAATTCAACTTACTAAATAACTCTTAGCAATTTTTAAAAACGCCTCCATCTGAATTTCACTAGAGACCACTAAATTATTATTAGTAAACATACATGACATGAATTGTCAAGTCATGCCATAAAACTGCTTATCAATGAAACGCCTACAAATTCACATATAAACCGGTAAATCTTCCCACTGGTTCCAAACATAAAACAAGACACTGTTAAAGAGGGCGTAGCATCCGCTTATTTTCATAAATAATATATATAGCTAACAAACCATTTGAAGAGAAATGGCGAATTTTATACTAATGCTTTTTAATTCAACTGAAAGGTGAAAGGAACGATATCGACCTACTTTATTTCATTGTAAGTAAAATTATAATGCGTTTAATACGTGAGAGGCAGTTATCGCCTGTTTTAAGGTATTATATTTGTATAATGTACAAATAAATATATAGTTAAATTAGTTTGTTTGTTTTTGAATTTCGCGCAAAGCAACACGAGGGCTATCTGCGCTAGCCGTCCCTAAGTTAACAGTGTAAGACTAGAGGGAAGGCAGCTAGTCATCACCACCCACCGCCAACTCTTGGGCTACTCTTTTACCAACGAATAGTGGGATTGACCGTCACATTATAACGCCCCCACGGTTGAAAGGGCGAACATGTTTGTTGGGACGGGGATTCGAACCCGCGACCCTCAGATTGCGAGTCGAGCTCCCTAACCATCTGGCCATGCCGTGCCCAGCTAAATTAGTTTTACCATGCATGGGATTTGATATACAAATTCAAACAGTGAATGTTTTGTACTAAAATAATTAGCCGTTCTTTAACTTCTTCAGCGAAAAATTAGACATTTAACTATTTCTTATTTTCTGTTTCTTACTTGTATGTATATATATTTAATTTCATGTGTGTTTCGATGACAACGTTCTGTCAATATCCAAAGTAGCCTAACCTGAAATCAAACAGTAAACTTGTTTATATACGATTAAGTTATTCAGTCATTGTAACAATACATTTTTAAAATTATTTTGAATCAGTCTTAAAAACTAAACCTCGTGAACAAAAGATTTGTTATTAAAAAACAAGAATAACAAAAACAGCAACGGAGATACCCTTTTAATGTTCATATCTCTGCATCTTCCCTAAAATATGTTTTCATCAATCTATCCTAGGTTAATAGTTATAAAATCGAATTAAATTAATACTTTCCAGATTTAACTAGCTTTGTATACGTAATATCTAATCGCTTTTTAACTTTCAGAAATATGAACTTTTTATTATAATTGCTAGAAGAGAAATAACCACTGTATCTTTACCATTGTGTTACTGCTAGTAGCTTTAGTATTGTTACGACAGCGGATGTCGCGTGACGCTGGGAGCATGCGCGCTGGAGTTTCTCGAATTATCGAGGAACCCCGCGAATGTCTGAGTGTTTGCTAGACACCCTCTTTTTTAGTATATAAGCTTGGCAAAGAAAGCCAGCGATATAGATAGATAATTAAAGAAGCTAACAGTAGTGACGGTAAATAAAGTGTGTGAATCTCTGTGAATTATAGCATGTGTTTATAAGAAGTCGTTAAGTTTAAAGCGACGAAGAAGGTAGTGACTGTGGAAATTCTGTGTGTTACAAAGTTTGTATCAAGAAAGAATAAA